GCTCCTCGCCCCCCCCCCCCCCACACCACCCCATCTCGCACACCATTGTCACGACATCAACGCGAATCACATAAATTACTTCGTATCGCTACAATGACGCAAGAGATTTAAGAAGTCCACTCTCAGGTTTAATATAAATAAACTTTTTTTTTTTTTTTTTTTTTTTTTTTTTTTTTTGTTATTTCGATGACGATGACGACGACGAACTCTCGCCTTCTGCATCCCCATACGCTACAAATAAATGAGGATCCCAAAGAGAAATTTAATTTCATTTCATTGCGAATGGAGCATTCGTAAACTCACTGGCGATTAAATATATTATAAAGGTGCTAAAAGTCCCTCGTCCTCTCCGCCACTCATATCCCAAGGATCTATCCTCCTCCTCTTCCTCGTGCGCCAGAGTCAATCACCGAGTCAAGCTCCGAGCCGCCCTTCTCCCGTCGCTGCTTTTCCTCCGCTCGGAAAGCCTCCTCGCCTCGAGACCAGGTCCCGGCCTCTTCCCGGAATGCCGGAGCGCGGAGGAATGGCCCCGGGGTCAAACCTGTTCCGCGCGCCTTGCCCCCTTTTTCGTTGTTTCTCCTTCGGCTCTCCCACCACCCGCCCAACCACCCACCTTGGCTGCTGGCTCGCCGCTCGCGGGAAAGCGACAAGGCGCCAACGACGAGCGACCCGGGGGACCCGCGAACTTTCCTCCGTCCGAGTGCGCGACCTCGCCTACTCAAAGTCGCCATCGCCACGATGAAAGTAGTGTCGACGGGGATGCGGGCGAGAACCTTGGACGATTAATCGACGCCGACCGACCGAATGCCAGTCAGTACCCTCTATTCCCTTATAATGCTGTCGAGGCGGCGGGAGTTTTCCCCGAGGACGGGCTGACGACTGCTTTCCTACATCTGGCCCCTTGGCTTTCACGTCAATTTCCCTTGCCCTTCTTATTGTCCTGTCGGCTTTAGCCCACCCGCTGACCGAACACATGCAGTTTCAAGCAAACTCTTGCTTTTATTTATCAGCAGATTCGTTGGACGAGGCAAGTTTTAACGCCGCCGCCACCCCCCCCCCTCCCCCTTCGTTTGTACTTTCGCGGTGCCTTGGTTGTCGTTACCGCGTGACGGCAATCATCCGCGAGGCTGATGATGGAACGTACAACACCTCATACAACCTCGTTAAACCCAATTCAAATACGAGTATTTTGATGAAAATCATCGACTGACCGTAGGAATGCGTAATTAACTCCATTACCCGCCCCCTTATTTTTCTCACCAATGTCGAGGCCAATTTACTAAAGAGCGTACTACTAAAGAGGAGCGAATCGCGCCGATAAGTCAGCGGCGGAACCATCGCCGCTCTCTATCTCTGTCTACATCATAGATGCGTCTGCCCTACATTATAAATGGTTTTGGGGCGCGTCCCCTACCTTACCGACATTATCAATCAATCTGAGATTTTTAAGATTTCTACATTATCGTCGCCCGACAAGGTAGACCGTGAAAGGCATTATCATGCGAGGGCAACGCGATCGTTATCGCTCATCGATCCATTAAAGATTCGACGATCAATGATTAAATTATTTTCAAATGCCGCGAGCGCGCGCCCGTATCGCCGTATGATTCGCCGCCTATTATTTCATTATCAAACTAAAGGGAAAGTGTACGGAAAATCTCACTACTCACAAAATACTTTGTCGGAATACATTTAATTTTACGCAAATCGTTATTATTAGGAATGGATGATTATTAGTAAAATCATTGGGGGGCGGGGGGGGGGGGGACTGCGTCTGTAATAAAGTGGACGACAGTGATCGACAATGATGAAGTGGACAAATATGAAAATGCTAAGGGACAATTAGGAAAGGAGCGATGCAATAGCGACAGCGTCGTGACCCCGTTACATTCACGTGCCTCAACAAGACAATGTGACTCTACGTGTTATCATAATCGATCAAATTTGTCAACATCTTCTCCGTAAGTGACAATTATTCTGGCTTTCCACGTACCAGCATTGTACTAATATCCTTATTATGCTCTCCCGCTTACCGAGCGTCTTCGCTCTTTTATCATTGGCGCATTTTAGACAAAAGCGATTGGCCAAAAGCTTTTCAATGTCACCTCCTCGAGATCTATTGTACGATTTTCAGTCTTTTATTGTGAAGCGAGGTGATTCGCCGCTTTTAATTAGCCTCGGCACATTGGGTTCTTTCTGTCAAAGATTTTTACTGTTTACCTTGCAATTCGTAGTTGCTCGATCATTGTGTTTTCGTTTCACACCGAAGATCTATCGCCACGATATTATGTCTACTTTAATAAGCTGACAAAAGTATCGATGACTTGTGACTTGTCGTTGTCCGGCGTATCGTTGTCCCACTTACAATCAACCTTAATCCAACGATCTTGAAGAAGCAATTTTTTCGCCTAATCGTTGAAATGGAAAATCTCATATTCAAATACTGATATTCCATTGCTTTTGTGGCCAATTAATGATTGCTTGAGCGCCGAAAGGCCGATTGTGCCCAAATCTTTTCCAAATCGTCGATAATCTCCGAAAACATTGATTAATCTCGTGAAACATCGATGCTTCAAACGGCGATACGAACGATACGAACGATACGAATAAAACGATTGGAGTCATAACGTATTTGCATATCACTCGTAGATAGGAAGAGTGGCGACGCCGTTCCCTTCGCCCGAGTAATTTGCTTCGAAAATTCGCGCTTACGTAGTCGCGATGGATTATTCGCCACTCCCTCAATGCCCTTCACTCAACGTATACATTAAATTTGATTTGTAAGGGCCCGGCTGGGGCGAGCTGAATTATGAAAAATTTTTTTATTGAAACGTAAGAAAAAGCGGTAGCTGCACCGCTAACAAAAACAAGCCGATGCATAAATAATTTTGGAAAGAGCCATTTTGCTTTGGTAGCACGCGAGTCCGGTGCTTTAATCAAATGCACGCAATGTCGCGGCTCGGCAACTGGACAGAAGCTCGAATACGAAAAAGGCGAAAAAAAAATCAGTGGTAAAAAAGGAAGAAAAATAGTGTAGCAAACGGAGCAAATGGGAGAGAAGCGTGAATACATTACGCACGCGAGGAGGAAGCGAATACGGCGATCGAAGAGAAAGAGAGATGCGCCGGTGGCTAATAAGCCAGTCAGTCTGGGATATAAAAGCTATTCTATCGATCATTCCTTAGGATTTTCATAAATATTCGGGCCGATCGATGCCCAATGATCGCGCATTAATGAGTCGAAAAATCGTTAGAAGCGAGTCGCTTAGTCATACCGGTGATTATGAATGTGAACGAGAGTGCCGAGCAGTTGAGAAAAATGGGCGAATATGATAAAGATGTCGAGGAACGGTCGGATATGAGGCAAAGGGACAAAAAAGAATGGCGATCGTTTAAGCGATCGGCAAGAATAATGTGATCGGTTTGACATCGAAAATTCGAGAAAACGGAGGAACAGGTTGGAGAGGAGGGCGCGCGCCGAGCGGAGTTACATTATGCGACTACGAGTTTCTTGCAGAAGGCCCAAAAAGAATGTTTACCGACAGCGAAGATCAATCGGGGGAGAATCCGACACCGAAAAAAGCCCAGTCGCAAGGAGGATAAAAAAAGACGAAAATATGACAAAGAAGAGGAACGTCGAGGTCGAGGAAAGTAAAGTATAGATGGGCTCTACCTACGCGAGTAGCGCGGAATCAGCGAAACACGAGCGAGAAAGGGAGAGAGGTAGTGGGAGCGAGAGTGCGAGCTCGAGCGCGAGGCGGCAGCGAGAGAGATAGATAGATAGATAGATAGATAGAGAGAGAGAGAGAGAGAGAGAGAGAGAGAGAGAGAGAGAGA